CTTGGGTCCAGAGGAAGGTGTCAAAGCCCCTGAAACTGGACTTACAGAGGGTTATTAGCTACCACATAGATGCTGGAAAATGAACCCAGGTCCTCTGCAAGAGCATCAAGTTCTCCATCTCTACAGCCCCAAATTAGTCATTTTATAGATAGGAAAACAAAGTGAGGGTGGTAGAGAGATGACTCAAAAGTTAAGAGCACTGGCTGCTCTCAAAGATCCAGGCTTAGTTCCCAGCACCCACATGGTAGTTAACAACCATCTCAAACTCCAGTTCTAGGGGACTGAAAACCCTCTTCTGGCCTCTGTGGCCTTTGCACACAGGTTTGCACCTACATACATGCAGGCAAAACACACGAAAAATAACAAATTTTAAAGAAAATAAAGTGAGCATGTCAGTGGTATGTCGACGTTAAATAATCAGGGATGGTGAGAGGGTTCAGTGGGTAAAAGGCGCTTGCTGTATAAGCCTGGAAAAGTCAGGTCGATCCCCAGCACACTCCAGAAAGTTGTCCTGTGGCCTAGTATGCCCGCCAGGGCAAACGCCCACACAGTAATAAATTGTTTAAACAGCACACCAGGGGTTAGAGTGGCATAATGTAGAGGCTGCCAACAGTGACCAGAGCAGACTGGGCTAGGATCCTGTCTGCACCTAGCCCGGCTCTCGATGGAACTTATCAAAGGACTTGGTGTGAGAGAGTCCTGGACACCAAGACGAAGTGTTCTTCACTGTGGGCGCTGGGACAGGGGGGCCACCACTCGAACCCGGCGGCCACAGGACCGCGTCCCACACCGCCGAGCGGTCGGATGGGAGGCTGCCGCCGTGCGCCTGCGCGACTGGCTCCCCGGCCGGGCGGCTCCGACCTCCGCCGCGCCTTGACAGCCGCACGCCCTGATAGCCGCACTCCAACTCCAGCACCATCCAACGCCCCGCCCCGTCGCCGTCAGCGGGCGGCCAATAAACGGAGAGCAGGAAGAGGCGGGGCCACCGGGGCCGCCCCAAACACCTACTTCTAACCAGTGGAGTCACAAGACTTGAGCAGGGCGGAGCTAGCCCGACCACCCAATCCGCGGTTCGAGGCCGCCACGCAGCGCCCACTCCCGGAGTCAGGCTCCGCCCTTCGCGTTGACGTACACTGGCCAACCTATAAACGACTGAGCCCTGGGGTTGAGGGGGCGGGGAGAGGAGGCGGAGAGAGGAAGGAGGCGTTGGCTGAGGAGGAAGAGGGAGGAGGGGCAGGGAAGTTCTGGCGGAGAAGAGGCCGAAGACTCCAAAGAAGACAACCGGAGGGTACGGTGCAGCTCCTCACTGCCCAGCCGCCGTTCGGGATTCTTCGAGGCGCGAGTCCGTCCGAGACCGAGGACAGGAGGAAGAGTCTTTTATGTCGGAGGACAGAGAAGCTCAACCCGTCACCGTTGCCTCACATCCGGGGCTTTGGAGGGCTGGCCCCCGCGGCCCCGCCCCCCCCCTCGCGCTTTTCATGGCTACTGGAGGCGGAGGCTGGCGAAACTGGGCCCGGCGGTGGCCCCTTTAAATTTATTTAAAGGGGTGGTCCCCCAACTCTGCCGACTCTAACGCCAGCCTTAAAGGGGAAGCCGTGAGCCGAAGCTGACAAATTGAGAACTGTGCTGTTGGGAGAACTGGTGCAAGTGGAGTTTCTCACCACTCACCACACCCCCACACCCCCGTCCCACGCAAGAAGTTCTTTAAATTCATCTTAAAGGGGAAGTGGCCGCTTGTGGAGGACTAGAAACTTAAGTGCGAGCTCTTAAGGGGACGGGCTGCTGTTTGAAGGCCCCTGGACTCTTTAAAGGGGTGGCCTCTTTCAGCCGGCGGACTTGAGACACTTTTAAAGGGGAGGTCTGCGTTTCAGGTCGAGCTTTCGGCCCCTTTTAAAGGGGTGGCCCTTCCTCTTCCTCGGGGAGACTTGCCTCGACCCCTGGCAGGGGGCCACCACCGCACTAGGCCAGCCGGACACAGTTGGGTCGTCTTAAAGGGGCCTGGAGCTGGACAATTTGAGGCCTCGCCTTAAAGGGACGGTCGCCCCGTTTTCATCGTCGCGGCCCCGCCGGCCCTATAGGGGGGGCCTTCGGGCTTGTCGCCCCGGGGGCGGCGCCGGCTCTCTGGGCCTTGGCCTTGGGGCAAGCTTGGGGCCAGCGGATCCTGCTTTAAAGAGGAAGCCGTGGCCCTCTCGTCCCTGGGCCACCGCCTGCGCCGCGCCTGCGATCCCGGGCCTGCAGACAGGCCGCTTTGGACCCCGCCGCCTCCGGATGCGGCGCTGAGGGCCGTCACCATGGAGACGGCCGCGGCCCCGGGCCCGGGCTGGGCAGCTGAAGGGGAGCGGCGGCGAAGACGCTGCCCCCGCCGAGACCGAGACCGGGAGCAGCGGCGCCGCCGAGGTCCAGGCGGCGACGCGCCCCGGGCCCTGTTGGCCGCCCAGCGCGGCTCTTCGTCCTCTTCGTCGCCGCCGCCGTCCGCTCGACCCTGGTCGTCAGCTTCCTCTGGAGAGCGGCCTGGGGGCCTGAGACGGCGGCGGCCTCGTCCCAGGCCTCGGCCACCGAGGCCGCGAGCTCGGAAGCGGCCTGCCGGTTCGGGCAGCCGCGGGGAGGAAGAGGAGGAGGAGGAAGAAGGGGGTGCAGACGACGGGGAAGCCGAGGAGGAGCCTGAGGAGGAGGAAGAAGAGGAGGAGGACTTGATCGATGGCTTTGCCATCGCTAGCTTCGCCAGCCTTGAGGCCTTGCAGGTGTGGCCTAATGGGATTTGGGGACCTTTGGGGGGTTCACAGGGGCAGTGAGGATACAACCCCTAGAGTGGGTGGGGTTGAGGGAGGAGTGGTGACACCCCAAACCAGAGCAACCGGCTCCTCTGGCCGGGCCTCTGCCCCACCCTGGGGTAGAAGGAGGTAGAGCTGGTCTCTGGGGACTAACCAGGTTACCCTGCCATAGAAGCAGTTGGGTAGCCTCGGCACCCCTAGAGAGTTGGGGAGCTTTCCTTTTCCATCCACTTCAGTCCCTCCTCCTCTTCTTCCTCTTCTTCCTCCTCCCCCCTCCTCCTCCTCCTTCTCCTCCAACTCCTCCTCCTCCTCCTCCTCCTCCTCCTCCTCGTCCTCCTCCTCCTCCTCCTCATCTTCCTCCTCTTCTTCCTCCACATCATTGACCTCACAATCTGTGACTCTCCTCCTCCTCCTCCTCCACAGAAGGATGCATCTCTTCAGCCCCCAGAGCGACTGGAACATCGGCTGAAGCATTCTGGGAAACGGAAGAGGGGGGGCTCCAGTGGGGCCACTGGGGAGCTAGGGGACAGCTCAGATCGTGAGCCTGGCCGGCCCCCTGGGGATCGGCCCCGAAAATGGCCCAATAAGCGGAGAAGGAAAGAGGTGAGCTTGTCCCAGTTCCCAATCCTTTAAAATTCCTTAAGCAGCATATCATTCATGTAGATTGGTTTTCCATCAACATTGCAACTGTCCATCCTAAGAGCCAGGAGTAAGGCAGAAGAAATTGGACACCCTCCGTCCAGATCTGACAGACTTGACTGCAGTCAAGACTCACCTGCTTTTGTTTGTGCTATGTGTACTTCAAACATGCTCACAATTCAAGAGACACATCAAAGAGACTTAGTTGAATTAAAAATAAATTAGATGTGATCCCTGCCCTTCCTCTAGCTGGTAGCAGCCTAGAAGGAAAGAAATAATCAACAAGCAAATACCAAGGCCAGTTTGAGCAGCTGCACAAGGCAGTGATCTGGGAGAGATCTAGGAGCAATGCTGCAGAAACCCACATGAGGAAGCCACTCATTCTGTCTGGGGGATGGGTAGAGGGTTGTGGTTAGGGAAAGCCCCCTAAAATGTCATGGGCCCCAAAGTATAGTCAGAAGTTTGCTAAGGGGAGAAATGAAGAAAAGTTGTTTTGAACAAAAAGATGTGAGAACCTGGTATATTTAGAGAGAATGGCAAGAGCATTGGGAATAGAGGTATGCAGTAACCAGAGAAGCTAGAAAAGGCAATTGAGAGGCAGTCTTGAGGGACCTTGAATGCCTTGCTGGGAGTTGAGACAGTTTCCTGGCCAGTCAGCCTCCCTTACCTCTGGACTCTGGTCTTTCTCAGGCCTTCTCCCGTCACTCTCTGGAAGCTGGATATATAGTAAGTGTCTCTACCTATAATGGCCCTTCCCTCCTCCTTGGACTCAACTCTTCTATCTCCTGATGCCTCTGCTTTCCCTTTCAGTGTGACGCAGAAAGTGATCTGGATGAGAGGGTGAGTGGAGCTAGAACTTGTTGGGTGGGTATCATTACAGCTTGTCAAGTGATCTTTAACTTAAAACCTTCCACGTGTAACAGCTGTTCTCAACTGGGAACATTGGGTATGCTGAAGGAAGATTAGGTATGGGGGGATGAGAGTACAGGAAGGTTTAGTGAGGTTTGTGTTTTGTTTTTTAATTTGTATGTGTGGGTATGGATATACGTGTGTACGTACAAGCCTGCGTGCTATGGTGTGCATGTGGAGGTTAGAGGACATCTTACAGGAGTCAGTTGTCTCCTACCATGTGGGTTCCAGGGATTACACTTGGGTCATCAGGCATGGAAGCATTCATTTTATCTACTGAACCAACTCACTGACCCTGTTGTTGTTGCTTTTAATGGTGAACATGGCTAGGTGGCCAGAGAATTGAAGGTCTGTGTCTTTGGGTAGCACCCTTCTCAAAAGCTTTGTAGCTTTCCATAGGAATCCAAAGTAACTGAGCTGAAATGGTTCTTCCTGTGGCCATTAGTCTTTTCTTATAATTACAGTAGTATAGATTAGAGTCTGAACAGGGGACTGTCTGTGGTCACAGTAGTGAGGACACCAAACCAGTTTATTATTAGTGTTAGTTTTAAGGCAATGTGCCCTGACAGGTCATGTTCTACCTACTTACTCCGGTAAGGAGCTAAGTTTGCCCTTCCTGATGTGTATCTTGTTTTATCTCAAAAGTCCATGGACTTTGGGTGAACCAGAGTTGTGGTCCATCTAAGGGGGTGGCCACCTATCCATTTCTAGCCACATGAGAATGGGAGACCATTGTCGAGAGGCCCTTAAGTCCATGTTTTAACAAGAAATCTCCAGCTCTGAGAATATCAGCAGCTTAAGGTTTCTGCTGATGCCTTTCTGTAGGCCAGGCAGACTTACAAGCCAGGAGTTAGTCTTTGCTGACAGTTTGCTTTGGTTTGCCTCCATCTCTTCACTCCATTTCTGCTTTGCTTCAGTTCTCCTGGCCTAGCAGATTTTTGGTCTTAGTAACTCCACTTCTTTTTTCAGTCCACAGTCTGATAGATCATAGCTAGGCCAATAGACATGCCACTACTTCCAGTTCCTAGCAGGCTTCAGACGCTGTTGGCTTAATAACCTAACCACTCCCTACCTGTCTTTCCCAGGTCTCTGATGATGACCTCGACCCGTCCTTCACTGTCTCAACCAGCAAAGGTTGGTCCCAAGGACTAGGATGAAAACATGAAAGGGATATGGGTGAGCATGAACTTCTGCTGAGCATGTCTGCCATCCTGCCCTCACAGCCTCGGGTCCCCATGGCGCCTTCAATGGGAACTGTGAAGCAAAACTGTCTGTGGTCCCTAAAGTGTCAGGACTGGAGCGGAGCCAAGAGCAGCCCCCAGGGCCCGACCCGCTGCTAGTGCCTTTCCCCCCAAAGGAACCACCACCTCCTCCAGCCCCTCGGCCTCCTGTCTCACCCCCTGCACCCTTACCGGCCGCCCCCAGTCTGCCACCCCCACCCCAACCGCAGCTTCGGGTCTCACCCTTCAGCCTCCGCACTTCTCCCTATGGCAGCAGCCTGGACCTCAGCACTGGCAGGTGAGTGCTCATGGGTCTAGTCTGATCTGATCTGATCTGATCTGGAAGGATCTGTATTCTGTGACTGGGATGTGGAATGAGTCTGACTTAAAAAGGATTGTGAGACTAAAAAGTTGGAGAGACAACTGGGTAAGATAAATGTAAAGACATTACTTCAGGACTTACCTGAGCCCTTTCTATATTCATGTGCAAGGATATCCAGTTTGTGCCATTTCCCAGTTGTATTTGCTAGGAGGAACTTTTTGTAAGGCACATCTGCTATAAATAATGTTCTTTGGAGCATACTTTGGGAAATGCTGCCATGATGAATAACAGTGCTGACCTTGCTGTCAGTCAGGCCTGGATTCAAATTCTTGCTCTGCCACTTACTGGCTATGTGATTTTTGACAAGTCACTTCACCTCTCTGAGCCTGAATTTCCTCCTTGCTGTAAAATGAAATACTAATAGTACTTTCTTCCTAAAGCTGTTGTGAGGATTAATTCTGAGTGAATGCAGTTCCCAAAGTGTGCACACTCGTCTTTAGTGGGACATGGAGTGATTTCAGGTGTTACCTTAGTAAACTCTAAAATAGTCACAACTTAGCTTTTATATACTTTAGAAAGTATGGGTAATACCTCAGAGTTTTGATTTTACATTAATGCTTTAGGATGAGGCCAAAAAGAGAGTGAGTTAAGTTATAGAAAAATGAACTGGTATAGCAGAAATGGTTGCATGGCTGTGGGAGCACTTGGGAAGGTGGTGTGACTTGTTGGAGATTGCATTAGCTCATAAAGCAAATGCCAGCAGTTGGTCTACAGTAAGTACTCATTAGAGGGTAAGAATTAATGATAATACTGTTATGGTGGTTCTCACAATTGTCATCATTATCACTGTTATTAAGAAAACTAAGGCTCAGAGAGGGGCAGTGACTTGCTCAAGGTCACCCAGGGTGTTCATGGCAAGATGGGTGTAGAATTCAGGTCACCTGACTCACAGGACAGAGCAGTGTGGTGCTACTTCCACTTAGGGTGGGAACCCAGGTGGCCCATTGTAATTAAGTGTCAAAATGAATGATCTGTTTTGTGCTGTGGTTGAGTCAGAAAAAGGAAAGTCATACGGCAAGAAATGACAGAGGCAGCTTTGTGGAAAATGAGACCTAAAGGGGGAAAAGGGGTTGTTGGGTGTGGGAGGCATCTGCTCCTAAGGCTGGGTTCCCTGGGAGGAGCCCCTGGGGGCCAGGTTCTGCCATCTCCCATGTGGAGAACCAAGGCCACAGCATCACCCAGGCTTCTGACCCCACCCCTCCTGTCAGAGCTAGCACCTCCCACCCCCTCACTCATCTCCCCACTTCTCTCCCCAGCTCTTCACGGCCGCCCCCCAAGGCCCCGGCCCCTCCCGTGGCTCAGCCTCCCCCCTCATCATCCTCTTCGTCCTCCTCATCATCATCTGCCTCCTCCTCGTCCTCGCAGCTCACCCACCGGCCCCCGACGCCCTCACTGCCCCTGCCTCTGTCCACCCACAGCTTTCCTCCCCATGGGCTGCGGCCTCCCCCACCCCACCACCACCCCTCCTTGGTCTCCCCTGGCCCCACCCTGCCCCCACCCCCACCTCTGCTGCAGGTGCCAGGGCACCCTGGGGCCTCAGCCGCTAACGCCCTTTCTGGTGAGTTTGGGGTCCTGACCTGGGGGTGGGGTGAGGGGGTGGGCCATCACCCCAAGTGTGGGCCCCGTTGGCTTTGACAGGGCCCAGGGGCCGAGGAGGGAGTGGCTCAAGGCCAGAGGGAAGACCAATCACCTGGACCCAAGGAGGCTGACATGGTGGCATCAGATATTAAAGCCTTCTCCCCCTCCCCTCCCACAGAGCAGGACCTGATCGGCCAGGACCTGAACTCTCGCTACCTGAATGCCCAGGGTGGCCCTGAGGTGATGGGGGCAGGGGGCTCGGCCCGGCCCCTGGCTTTCCAGTTCCATCAGCACAACCACCAGCACCAACACACCCACCAGCACACCCACCAGCACTTCACCCCCTACCCCCCAGGCCTGCTGCCTCCCCACGGCCACATGGTGAGCTCTTCATTGGGCTGCTGAGGAGGCTTAGAGGCCTGAGGGAGGGTGTCACCTACAGGGCAAGGATGGCCCTGGGTCCCTGGCTAGCAGCTTACTCTTCCCTTCTCTTCTCTAGTTTGAGAAATACCCAGGAAAGATGGAAGGCCTTTTCCGGCATAATGTGAGTGTGTGTGATAGTGTGTGAGATATGGGAATGGATGCATCAGTGGTGTCGCTCTGACTGTTGGGGTCCAGTCTTCTGCTCCAAAATCAAGAGCTTTAAGCATGGGAGAGCCCCCTGGGGGCGTTAGGGTGGAGATAAAGGACTTATGGGCAGACCAGACTTGGGCTGTACCTCCACCCCCTGCTTGGACTAGTCCCCTTCTCTCCACAGCCGTACATGGCCTTCCCTCCCGCAGTACCAGGGCTCCCTCCAGGCCTCCCACCGGCTGTCTCCTTTGGCTCCCTGCAGGGGGCCTTCCAGCCCAAGGTGAGCTCCCAATCCAGACAACTACCTACCTCTTCTCATCCCTTAACAGATCCAGACACTCTGTACCCATATACCTTCTCCCAAAAACTATGCCTACCCTCCTGCCCTCCCTTCTGGACCCAGGTTTTTGCAAAACCATGCTCCCTGTCCTGTCCCATGCCTCAACCTGATTATAGACCCTTTATACTTGGCACCAGCACTCCTATCTGATCCCTCCACTCCCCTTTCCCAGAACACGAACCCTGAGCTGCCACCACGACTGGGGCCAGTGCTGAGCGGGCTCCCCCAAAAGGGAACACAGGTGAGGGGGGGCAGGTCAGGTCCTGGGGGAGCTGGAAGTGTGTTGAGGGGGGAGAGTAGGGTAGATTGAGGAGATTGAGCTCCTGGCTCTTCTCTGTAATATACAGTCAGATGTATCCCTGGGACTCTTTAAGAGAGGATTTTTGTAAATAACAGGTTTTCCTGATGACATTGTCCCCCAAAATAATTAGAATAGTGGTTTTGTATTTTTTTTGTTTTGTTTTGTGATACTGGGGTCAAACTTAGGGTTTCACACATACATTCTACCATTGAGCTATATCTGCAACCTAAGGACAGTGGTTTTTATAGAGGTTTTCAAACGTAAGTCATACAACTCTTTTTTTTTCTTCCTCCAAATGACATCATACCAGGAAGCCCTCTCCATAAAACATTTAAAAGATAAGCTTCCCTTTTGCCAAGTGGCTAGGGACCTAGAATGCTTCTCCCTGTTTGCCACATGCACAGCCTTAGACCCCAGGGCTCTTGGAATGTTGTGAAAGCACAGAACTCATTCCCTAAAGAACAGACTAAAGTTTTTTTTTAACTTCCTTAGAAGGTTTGTTTTGTTATATTTTGTTTTCCTCACTAAAGTAATCCTAACAAATTCCATTGTATAAAACTGATAGGACAGTTTCTCTGGGAAAGAAACCAATCCTTCCTGGCCTTCCCAACAGGGTACCACCCTAGGATCTAGTTCAGAAACCTGATGCAAAAGGAGCAGTATCTAGAATGGAAGAAAAAATAGGAAGGACATTTTTTTGGCAGGCAGGAATGGTTTGAGGGAGCCATGGTCTCAGGGAAATTGGGGGGAGAGTGCTATGCATACGAGACATCCAGGTCAGTAGAGCAGGTCTGAATCGCCTCCAATCTCTCCTTTGCCATCCTCAGATCCCTGATCATTTCCGGCCACCTTTGAGGGTGAGTTTGGTGAGGATCTCAGGCTGCATGAAGCTGGGACTGGTGTCAGGGTGTTTGGCTGAGGCGGGTGGGATCTTGCTTGGGAAGGATTAAAACACCCAACGTTTAGTGTTTTTACAACGCTAGATGTAAAACGGTAGAGTTTTTAAGTCACAGCCTAGGCTTAGATGTAACTGGCCATGGGACCTTGGGCAAGATAGTTTATCTCTCTGAGCCTCAGTTTCCTAGGCTATAAAATGAACTTAATCATCCCTCAGTTGTAGGGATGGTGATTGAGGATGTTATGTGGCAAGGTTGGGCCTAGGGTCAGGCCTAGAGTGGGTGATGAGTGAACATTTTCCTTCCCTTTCCCTTTGGTTATCCTGGGGCGGCAGAAACCAGGAAAGTGGTGTGCCATGCACGTTCGTGTGGCTTACATGATCCTGAGACACCAGGAAAAGATGAAGGTACTGGGGCTGGAGGACTGACTGGGGAGAGTTGGGTCTGAGAGTCAAGGGTTTTCTGAACTCTGGGTAGTGATTTCAACAGAGCTTAGAAAAATCTTAGCAAGAAACATTTTCTCCCTGTCTCCATCACTGGTTCACAGCACCTAAGTTCTCTGGCAAATTACAGGGCTGGTCAGAGAAGATGCTGAAAGAGGTAGAGGAGAGCACTTAATTCTCCTGGTGCTAGCCAGCCCTTGGAGGGGAACTGAGGGTGGGAGAACAAGAGTAGGGACCTGCGAGTCACAGGATTAAAAGGAGAGAGAAAGAAAAAACAAAAAACAAACTGGACCCAGACACAGCTCCTCACTGCCCCTCTCCCTATGTCCCATGCAGGGTGACTCCCACAAGCTTGATTTTCGCAACGACCTCCTGCCCTGCCTTCCAGGGCCCTATGGGGCCCTGCCCCCTGGGCAGGAGCTCTCCCACCCGGCCTCCCTCTTCACTGCGACTGGTGAGTCTGGCCAGCCCTCTTAGGGTCTACAGCCCAATGCCCATCTTGTAGCCTCATCAGAATCTCCCACCTCTCTGCCCCAGGTGCCGTCCATGCTGCAGCCAACCCTTTCACGACAGCTCCCGGGGCCCATGGACCCTTCCTGAGCCCCAGCACTCACATTGGTAAGAGCCAAGGGTATGTTGGGCGTTTCAGACCTTGTTCTTAAAACATTGAGCTGGGAATCAACAGACCTAAGGAACAGCTGGAGTGGGGTAGGTATGGGTCTATTTGCTTTGTGGCCTTAGGCACTCTGCCTACTCTGAGCCATGATTTCCTCTTCTGAAAAATGAGTATAGAAGTACTGGGTGATTCCCACTCTGCCAGTGCAGACTCCTCTCTGAAATAGCCAGTTGTGTGCCACCTGGAAAAGGAGAATACAGCAGGGAGGCTGTGCAGGCCCAGGGGAAGGCATAGTCGGCCTAGGGAACTTGCAAGCTTTGGGGAGAGATATTTAGCCTAGCTATGGGTAGAAAAGAAAGAGTTGAGCCGAAGTAAAAATGTTTCTGGCTGGAGAGACTACAAGGTTCCCATGGACGAGTGGGCTAGTTGTTCTGACAGCTTCGTGACATATGTATGAATTTAAGATCAGACATGGTTCTTAAAACTAAACCATCAAGGGGCAGGCATGGTGGCACACACCTTTAATCTCAGCACTAGGGAGGCAGAGGCAGGCAGATTTCTGCAAGATCGAAGCCAGCCTGGTCTATATAGCGAGTTCCAGGTCAGCTGAGGCTACAGGGAGACCCTGTCTTAAAAAGACCAAAAAAAAAAAACCAAAAAACAAAAAAACAAAACTAGGCCACTAAGGGCTCCAGCCTCCTTACTACTAACTTGCCTCTTTGCCACCTTTTCTTTGGGGTTGCTCAAAGTTGGCTTCCCTGTACTCTGTCTGACCAGTCTTTCTTTTCTCCCACAGATCCCTTTGGGCGTCCCACAAGCTTTGCCTCCTTAGCTGCCCTCTCCAATGGGGCTTTTGGAGGCCTGGGCAGCCCCACATTCAGTGAGTCCTGGGTAGAGTAGGGGATAAGGAAGGGATGGGAGCTATAGCACTGGGACTATATACTGGAAGGCTGTCTGTGTGGGGTATCCCCCTCCTGGCCTCCGGTGCAGTCTTTGCCCAGAAAGAAAGCCCAGGGGCCCCACCAGTCTTTGCCTCCCCACCAGACCCCCCTGGCCCCTGTCATTTTTACTTTGCCTTCTGTCCAGACTCCGGTGCAGTCTTTGCCCAGAAAGAAAGCCCAGGGGCCCCACCAGCCTTTGCCTCCCCACCAGACCCATGGGGCCGCCTGCACCGCAGTCCTCTGGCCTTTCCTGCTTGGGTCCGGCCCCCTGAAGCTGCCCGGACACCAGGCTCAGATAAGGAGCGACCTGTGGAGCGGAGGGAACCCTCTGTCACCAAGGAGGAGAAGGATAGGTACGCCCCCTGTTTAGCTGCAGTCCTACCCACTCCAGTGCTGTCAGCCACAGAAATACTTTAATTCCATACCCCCTGTGCCTGCCTTCCTCAGGGACCTTCCCTTCTCACGGCCCCAGCTACGAGTTTCTCCTGCTACCCCCAAGGCCCGGGCTGGTGAGGAAGGGGCCCGGCCAGCCAAAGAGTCTGTGCGTGTAAAGGAAGAGCGGAAGGAAGAGGCTGCTGCTGCCGCCGCTGCTGCCGCCGCTGCCGCCGCTGCTGCTGCCACCACTGGGCCTCAGGGCCTTCACTTGCTTTTGGAGAGGCCCCGGCCACCTCCCTTTCTTGGCCCTAGTCTGCCAGAGCGCTGTGCCGGCTTCCCAGAGCCAACCTGGTTGGCTGGGCCACCACGCCTGGCCAGGCCACCACGCTTCTATGAGGCAGGTGAGGAGTTGACTGGACCAGGGGCCATGGCTGCTGCCCGCCTCTACAGTCTAGACCCTGCTCATCCTTTGCTATATGGCCGTTTGGCTCCTCCACCACCACCTGCTGTGGCTCCAGGAACCCCTCACCTTCTCAGCAAGACCCCACCAGGAGCCCTTTTGGGGGCACCACCTCCACTTGTGCCCGCTCCCCGTCCCAGTTCCCCACCTAGGGCCCCTGGCCCAGCCCGGGCTGACAGGTGAGGAGAGGTGAGGGGCAGGGGCAAAGCTCCACTCCCCCTCCCCCCCATTCCTTGTGACAAAATCCTAGGGCTGAAGTTTTTAAGCCAGGGTTGGAAGGCAAAGGTCATGGACCTAGGAACAGAATCCCCAACCCCCACAAGGTCAAGTATCTATCACATGGACTGTGGGGTCACTGAGAAGACAGAGGTCACAAGCCTCTAGAGAGAAGTTGTGTTTTTGTACACGCGTGTGTGCGTGTATATGAGGGAGATATTTCAGAGGTTATGTTTTGTGACCTCTTGAGGTGCATCATTGCCCCCTCTAAGGGCCTCTAGGCCCTTGGCCTGCCTCCCCAAGGGCTCACTAAGCCAGAGGCCAAAGTGCCCCCCTCCCTTTCACCTACTACCCAAGTTCTCATGCCCTCCTAGGGCTGAGGAAGGAGGAGCTGAAGGAAAGGGGGTTCCGTGTACATATTTATCACCCCTTCCACAAATCCCCCAGACCTTTTGTACATTTTTACAGGGGTGCCCCTCCCAACAATCCCCTTCCTGGTTAATTAAATCCTCAGACTGGTGCTGTGTTCCTAGCCTCTGGCCTCTCTGTAGGGGGAGGGTGTTCCAGGGAAAGAGCCTGGTGGGGACAGGCAGGAACTCAGGGCTTGTCCCTGGGAATGTAGGGTCCAATAGGAGGTAGACCATTGGGAAAGGGGTCTAGGGTCCTAGGCTGGAGGGAAGGGCAAATGCTTCTTGGCTATTAGCCTAGGTTCCCCCAGACTTGTTCCTATTAATTCTGTGTGCCCCATAGCTCTAAAAGGTTCAACCTCCAAGCCTCAGACTTCACCTCTAAGGCTAAGTCGCCCCCAACCCCCCCCCCCATTTCCAAGTGCCCCCAGGACTCCTGGGCCCTGCTCCACAAAAACCCTATCCCAGGCTAAGGGAGGGAGGGATGGGCGGAGAAGGTCACCATGTACCACACACCAAAGAAGAGGGTTGGCCCAGGGGTGGGCAACACAGGCAGCTTCTTCAGCGGCCTCCCGGCAGCAGCCCCAGCCTTCCCAAAGCAGCAGGCACCTCCAGGCTGGGGCGAACCTAGAAGGCAGGGCTCAGTTTAACAAAACCGTAACTTTGACTTTTTCCCCCAGTGGGGCTTATTCTGTAACATGACTTGCGGATATTTATATAAAAATGAGTGTTACAATGAGACACACACACCCTGGCTCCTCTTTCAGTCTGTGTGGGTCGTCTGGCATGGTTTGTACTGGGTCCCAGTGTGAAGTAGGGGTGAGAACAATATTGACCAAGTCCTGACCAAGGTTTTCTTTTCCCTTCTCACACCTAGGGAGTTCTACTTCTGGATGGTTAGTGGTGGGCATTAAAGTTTTTCACATATCTAAGATTCAAACAATGCAGAGAGGTATGAAACCATCCCTTAGGGGTAGCCACTAATAATTATTTGGTGTGTGTTCCTTGAGTGTTTTTCTATGTATATGTTAGGAAAGACCCATAGTTTTCTAAATCTAGTGTTTTTATGAAGAAAACGTAATGGGGACTGGAGAGCTGGCTCAGTGGTTAAGAGCATTGGCTGCTCTTGCCAAAGACCTGAGTTTAGGTCCCAGCACATACATTGTGGCTAATAACTGTCCTTAACTCCAGTTCCAGGGGATCTGACACCCCTCTCTTGACTTCTGTGGGCATTGCGTTATATGGGTACATTTGCATACATGTAGGCCAAACATTCGTACACACAAAAATAAAAATTAAAAAAATATATATAAAATCAAACAAAGGAATACATAGTGCAAAGGAAAAGTACTTCATAATCCCATCTTAGAAAACCACTGTTTAAAAAGCCAGGTGCAGAGAGATGGCTCAGCAGTTAAAAGCACTGGCTATCTTGCGGAACACCAAGGTTCAATTTCCAACACCCACATGGGGGCTAACAACCATCCTTACATCCTTAACTCCAGTTCTAGGGGATGGGACAACTGTCCTCCAAAGACATACAACATGTATGCACTTGCATACGTGCAGGCAATACACTTATGTACATAAAAATGAAAAGGGGCTGGAGACATGGCTCAGTGGTTAAGAGCACTGACTGCTCTTGCAGAGGACCCAGGTTCAATTCCCAGCACCCACATGGCGGCTATGAACTGTCTTTCCAGTTCCAGGGGAATCCTACACCCTCTTCGGACCTCCGTGGGCATTGCACAACACAGGTGCACTTACTTGCATGCAAGCAGTACACTTGCACACAAATATTTGAAATTTTTTAAAAAAAGGATGTTCTTAGAAGACTTAAGACAAAAATACCCCATGACTTATCAACTTAAAATTGTTCAGTAAGATTGCCCATGCTGAGTGCAGTACTGTCTCTTGGTCAGCTCCAAGAATTATGAAGTGGGAAAAAATAATTTTTTTTTTTTTTGAAGCCAGATGTAGCTGGTTGTGGTGGTGCATGCCTTTAATCCCAACACTCAGGAGGCAGAGGCAGGTGGATCTCTGGGAGTTGGTGGCCACCCTGGTCCACATAGTTTCAGGCCAGCTGGGGCTACAGGGAGACCCTGTTTCAAAAAGACCGAAAAAAAAAAACGCAGGTATGACTGGAGAGATGGCTCAGTGGTTAAGAATGTGCACTGATCTTACCGAGGACCCATTTGATTCTCAGCACCCATATCAGGTAGCTCACAGCTGCCTGTAACTCTTGCTCCAGAGAATGCAGTGTCCTCTTCTGGCCTCCAGGGGCACCAAGCATGCATGTGATATTCATAAATACACATTGGTATTCATAATAAGCCAGGTATGAGCCAGTGAAATGACTCAGCAGGTAAAGGCACTTGCCACTGTGGGATGTGCATGCCTATACACACAAAAAAACAGTAAATACGTTTTTTTTAAAGCCAGGCATGGTGTTTCATGCCTGTGAGTCCAGCATTCAGGAGGCAGAAGTTGGAGGATTCGTGCACGTTCAAGGCCATTTTGGTCCATATAGAGAGTTCGAACTACATAGCAAGGCACTGACTCAAATACTGGGGATAATAGCTCAGTGGTAGAGTACTTGCCTAGCATGTGCAAAGCCTCGAGTTGAATAGATCCTTAGCATTGCAAAACAAGTTAAGAGAAGGCATGCTCCTAAGGTAAAATGAGAAGCCTTGGACTATATGATGTAGAAAATCTATGCAAAACTAAATCCAGATTTAGAAAACCACTATTACCAAAAATAAGTTCCTCCAGTTGTTTTTCTGACTGTGTACTTAAAATATTATTTGGATTGATCTTATGAAACAGTTTTACGCTTCCATTTTGCACTTAAAGTTTTGAAGCAGGGTCTCACTAGCCCACGCTGGCTTTTATCATCCTATCTCAGCCTCCCAAGTCATGGAATTCCAAGTCCTGGAATTACAGGCTTGGACCACCATGCCTGGTTCAGTAAAACATTATCTACAGGAGTATATCTAGCCTCTCCCAGATGTCTGCACTCCTAATAGCCCAAACAGTCATCTATGTTGATGACCACCTCCCTCTTCTGTTTCCACCTTTGTCACCAGCACCCAACTTGGAAACATCCCTTTTCCGTCACTTGCTTTAGCATCTGACACAGGCCCTGAACTTGTAACTGAGGACACAGGTAAGCAAATCAAATCCCAGTCTCCCTGGTGCTTACATTCCAATAATGAGAAAACAACAACAAACACTGTGAAGAAAATTAACTGCCAAGCCCTACTTACTTTTCCCTGCATGCTCTGATCCAAGCTCAGGGCGACTTCTCAGGCAGAGGTAAAGTGGGAATCCAGAAAGAACTGTCAGCATTTAGGGGGAAATTAAGCCAAAATGAATAATGAGAGAAGCTGCTGCTAGGAACTGGGCGTTTTTGCTTGAACAAGCTCAGCACAGTTATTTACTAAGTATATGTAATTTTATTTACTCTTGAGACAATCTCTATATAGCCCAGGCTGAACTCAGAATCCTGACTCAGTCTCCCAAGTGCCACCAGGCCCAGCTGGTAGCTATTTAATCTTGAATCTTGAGCAGTGTATTTAATATTTCTGTGTCGAGTTTTTTTCTTGTTTTTAATAATAAAGAGTTTTTGTTTTGAGATAGAGTCTCATAGCCTAGGCTGGCCTTGAACTCAGTATATAACCAGAGATGACCATGAACAATTTTCTTTTATTGACACAGAGTCTCTCACTATATAACTAGCTAGCTCTAGCTTCCTAGAACTCTGTAGTGGAGGTTGGCCTCAAACCTGTATCACCACCATGCCTGGTTTTACAGTACACTAAGGATCAAACCCAGGGCTTTGTGCATGATAGGCAGGCTCTCTGCCAACAGAGCTACATCCCCTGCCTTTGTTTTTAGAGACAGGGTCTCACTATGTAGCTCAGACTGATGTCAAATTCCATCTACTCCTGTCTCAGCCTCTTGAGTGCTAGGGTCATAGTTATGTGCCACCACACCCAGTTCAACTATTGAGTTTTGTTTTCATTTTATTATTTTTTCTATGTGTATGAGTGTAGTTGCCTGCATGTATGTAAGTGCACCTGCATTGTACAATGCCCATAGAGGTCAGAAGAGGGTGTTGGGTCCCCTGGAACTGGATTTAAGGATGGTTGTTAGCTGCCATGTAGGTGCTGGTAATCAAACCTGGGTCCTCTACAAGACCAGCCACTGCTCTTAACTGCTTGAGCCATCTCTCTAGTCCCAACTATTGAGTTTTAAAAACAATTTGAAGAGGCTGGAGAGGGCTCAGCAGTTAAGAGCACTTGCTGCTCTTGCAGAGGACCTGGGTTCCTTTCCTAGCACCCAAATGATGGTGACCAATTATCAGCTGTAACTGCAGCTCCCCAGAGATATCCTACCCTCTCTGGCCTCTGTGGACACTGCACACAATTGATATGCTTACATACGTATATACCTGCTGTATGCACTGGTGTATATACACGTGTAAATAAAAATAATCTTTAAAAAATGTTTTTGAGGGGCTGGAGAGATGGCTCAGCAGTTAAGAACACTGGTTGTTCTTGTAGAAGACCTGGGTTCGAATCCCAGCACCCACATGGCAGCTAACGACTGTCCGTAATTCCAGTTCCAGGGCATCCGATGGCCTCTCTGTCCTCCGAGGGCATTGCACGACACAGGTGCACTTATCTACATGCAGGCAATACACATATACACATAAATTAAAAATAATATATTTTAAAAGGCCAGGTGTGGTGGCACACGCATTCAATCCCAGCGCTTGGGAGGCAGAGGCAGGCGGATCTCTGTGAGTTCAAGGCCAGCCTGATCTATATAGTGAGTTCCAGGACAACTGGGGCTACAGGGAGACCCTGCCTCAAAAAGACCAAAAAAAAGAAAAAAAAGTTTTTGAAGGGACTGAGAAGATAACTCAGTTGGTAAAGTTTGCTATGCAAGCATAAGGGCCCGAGTTCATTCCCTAGAACCCAAGTGAAAA